AGGTCATGAAGATACTGTGTTGAGTGAAAGAATAAAAGATAAAGATTGGGGACCATATAGGGAAGACATCTCTTTGTAGTCGCCTTAGTGAGAAACACGAGCTCAGTTCTCACTGCAGGTCTGAGATGTGGCTCGGGTACTCAAGTCTAAGAAACACATTCATGAAAAACCAGTTTTCACTGTTTCTGCTGCTCATGCAATGACTTGTTTCTTCACAGATCACTCAGGGTGAGCCCCAGAAGTCATGCTCCAAGCCTGTAGCAGACAAAGTCACAGAGAGCTGCCAGGAAATTTGCCAGTGCAGGCCACCTCCACTGTTACCACCGCCTCCTCCACCTCCACCACCCCCGAGGTTGCTAGCGGTGCCGAGTAAGTAGCCACTGGGACAGTTGTGGTGCACTGAGGGAGGGCCAAGCAATGGGAATGCCTGGACAGACTGAAGGAGAAAGGTTGTGGGAGAGGGTGCAGCTAGCTCCTTTGTCATTTTCCACTTAGCAAATGGAGGAAGAAGTGTTCTCAGTAGAGATGGAGATCTGTTTTCTGATCAATGAATAATGCTTGGGTTTTGGACAAAAGCCACGGAAATTCCCTCCTTTCATTGTGTTATATATGATTCCCTAGTTTTAAATGGTTACCTAATGCCCTAGCCCTGGGAAATGCTTTTCTAGAGAGACACAGCATTCTGCTGCCCCTTGAGTTTCATGACCTCCTTTATTGCCAGGTGTGCACTTGAAGGTCTGTGTGCTCCAAGGCAAATTAATATATAAGCAGAGAAAAATTCGAACACTCCTCTAAACAATCCTGTAGGTTTGACTGTCATTAAGACACTGGAGCATTACTGGTTTGCCGTAGCAGTGAGTCAGTCTCACTGGTTTTAAGTTACTTAAAACTGTAACAAAACCCAGAGGCATCTCAGAAGTCCATGGCAAGTGAGCAGTGTTCCCACTAATGCACATACAGGCTAAGACTCATCTATTGCTCTTCATACAAATCAGTGCTCCGATGCCTTATCCAGTCCATCCAAACTCCTACTAATTTCCAGCTGTGCATCCCCATGTCCAGCACACCTGGTGCCTTCAGTTCCTGCTCTGCCAGCTGCTTTCCACATCAGTATTCCTGTGATTCCTGATGATCATTTCTGTAGAGCAGTAGCTGAGGCAGTCCCTGCACGGTGGGACAGAGCTCACCAGTGCTATATGCACTCACAGGGGTGCAGAGACATGGTCTGGACTCTGCACAGACACTTTTAGGTCCCAAGTGTCTGGTATTCCAGCAAATCTCCTTAATGCTTATGCATTTTCACAAATTAGTCTCTCCCTATAAGGCTGCCTATTAATTCTTCTGCCTGCTTATATAAACTCTCCTGGGAGCAGTGTTGCAAAGTATATCTAGTATCCTCAGCACTTCCCCCAAGGAAGAATAAATCATTAGGTATCATCATTTGTCTGTTTGTCTTTATCAGTGCTGTCTCCAGATGTGCAGAAGACACGAAGAAAGCTTCTGCACAGCTCCTTGTCAGGCAAAGGACAGGCAGAATTTTTCAGTGTGTTTTCTGCCAGGAGCATGCTTTGTACTTGTGCTACACTGCAGAAAATTAAGGCAAAGGCAAAGAAAAACCAACAGTGAAACCCTTGGGAAAGGAAGTACAAAGACAGCTGGGAAAGCAGAGAGGGATGGTTTTTATAGCAAGGAAAATCTCTTTCAATGTTCAGGAAAATGTCATGGACAGTAATACTGAAAATTCCCTTGATCTTTGTATCACAGCCAGAAAATGAAGTACTTTGCCACTCTGTTTTCTCGTACCTGGGGTACCCTGTTGCCCTGAGGGAGATAAGATGTGGCACAGCAGTGTTGGCACAGGGAGCAGCCCTGCTGCCCAGCTGCATTGGGAAGCAGGGCACTGTTGCCAGGCTGCTTCCCCTCTCTGGGCTGCCATCAGGCAGCTGCTCTGAGTGCGTGGATTTGTCTCCTGTGAAGTGGGAAGGAAATCATGTCAGAAAAAAGAAGTCTGTCATACATTGCAATAAGAGGAACAAGAAATCAAATGGGCCTGCGAATGGGATAGCCTGATGCTTGCTCAGGCTGGATTGCCAGGTGCTAACCCAGTTCTAAAAATGAGCTGTATGAATCCAGATGACTAATATTTAAGCAAGTTACTTCATTTCAAATGCAATGAAAAAAATACATTACACATTTCTTTCACCAATAAGCTTTAGGGTAGCATCAAGTGCCTCATCTTGAAAGATGCTTTCATTATTATCAGCTGTCTAGGCACTGTGATTTAGCCCACATGTACAGCAATCCCCATCCTTGTGAGAAGGAATAAGCCTGGTCGTTAAATATTGATGTTATAGACACTGCTTTTAAATGGTATTCAGGGAGGGCAGTAAAGGACCAAGACAAGCAATTATGAACTGGGTGATGCTCAACTTGCACTTTGCACTTTCTAAGTGCTTAAAGTTTAGGATTGGAACGGACTCTGCAAAAAAGCAGCAGCCCAGGAGCTGCAAGATTTTTACCTTTACAAGGTACAGTGTCTGTGCCATGAGGTGCTTCATAAAGATGCTGGCATTGCTCTCAGAGCTTTGTGAGCCACAAAAGGCTGCAGTCTGCTAGGCACTGTCCTTAAAAGCTCTCTGCAATCAAACTGAATGTTGCTGGAGGTTTTGATTAACTCTAAAACAGCTACTGTGGTTTGGGCTGGATGATTAAAGCCAATAGATACAAAATTCTTGTCTCTCCAGTCACTACAGACACTGACAGTTTGGTTATCTGCTAAATGAAGCTATCTAGTGCTCTTTGACATCTCCTGTGTGGTCTTCAGTTGCTGCTATGGAAAAGCAGGAGACCCTCTCCATTAGTTCTACCTGAATGTTTTGCAAACCCTACTGGGATGTATGGGATGGCACTGGGTAACTGTGAGCAGCTGAATCACTCTATGAAAGGCTTTTATTGTGCTTGAGGACAACTGAGGACTCTCAGGAACCATTACAATGCATTTAGTGTCTCTTTAGGCAGTTTGATACTGACAGGTTGATCCAGTGACAAATCTTTAGCTCTGTAGATAGATTTATACAAAATATATCTGAATGTTGTGAATTCCAGAATTCACATATAATAACTGGCAAATGTTGTGTTTACTCTGAGGGAAATAAGATAATTCCCTCTGCAGAAAATGAGTAGAATCACACACAGCTGAGCAGTCAGTCTAAAACCATGAGTAGTGATAGGAACACCAGCTTTCCAGGCTTTAGGAGACACCTCCCCATTGTAGTGCTGTATTTACAACAGGAATGTGTGGAGAGTTTTTCAGCACACCCTGAGGAGGCACTGAGTGAATGACTGAAACAACATGAATATGGGAAATTAAATAAACTGCTTTTGTCCTCCTTCAGGCATGACCCCAGGCCTTCTTTTCCCACATTTCTAACTCCTTCATACAGACCACTGGTGTTTCTGGTGTCCCATCCAACCTCTGCTCCTGCCTTCGCTCTGCAGCTGATTCCTTCATGGCAGCATATCTATGTGCCTCCTCCTCTCTAAGTGGAGGACTCCTGGTCTGCCCTAGTGAATCCATCTATCTAAATGAAGGCTGCCATCAGCCACGCTGGTCCCTGTGGGTGTTGCTTCTCTCTGTATTGCTGGTTCACCATTATCCCTTTCAGTAAAGTGGGATACATGGAGTATTTTTGAGTTTCCTGAGCTTCATTCCAGATGCAATTTGTTGGCATCCCATTTAGATGCTGCTGTCTTGTTCAGTATAGATGTGTACCATACTGAGGTTCTTTAAGGAGAAGGGCTCCAGCCCATGTTAGAAGTAACTAGGGTGGTGGGGACTGCGTGATGAAGTGATGGGGCTGTCAGGAGACATGGTCACTGAGCTGACTGCAGTTCCTTCAGATGGTCTGGCATATTGATGTTTCCGGAGTAACTCTCCTTATGCAAGCAGCAGTCTGCTCTTTAACCCGTGCCTAGAAAACTGCTCCTTGATGAAGTGAAGGGAAAGCTCATGAGGCTCTGAGAGGCCTAAGGCCAACTAAGCTTAGATGCTGACAGCAAAGGAAGGAGGAACTTACGATGAAATTGAGTGTGTTCCCTAGATATGCCTATTATGACCTGAAGGAGATAGAGATGCTCAGAACCTTGCCTTTAATTAACTGTGTCTTTTTCCCTCCATCTGCTTTCCTCCTTGTCTCTGGATTTCAGCCAGACTAAGGCAAGGTGGATAGAGTACTTGTTTAGGCAGCATTTCTGACCCAGCTTCATGGACCCATGAGATTAAGCTAGTTCAATTGATGTTGACCCTTAAAAATCTAAAAAAACTGCTGTTGTCAACCCTTAAATACTCTGTGAGCATGCAGGTTTCTCCAGGGGCATTGCAAAGAAAGCACTTTGTTTGAAAGTAAAAGCCAGGCTTTCAAAGCAGGAAAGGGTTAGAGCTAGACATACATTGCAGTCAGTATCAGTTTTAACCTGTGTAAGGTCTGAGGAAAAAAACATTTCAGAAGTGACTTCTTCAAAATGGTACAAGGAAGAAAAAGGATATTCAGCATGAGCACCTCACTGGCTGGTGAACAGTATTTGCTGTCTCTGCTCTACCCATCTCCTGTGGTGGATGAGGAGTCCTTGGTACTGACATCTGTTCTCTGGATGATGGAAGTGTTCAGTCAAACATTGCTTCAGTCAAAATTTCTAGGAGGAAACTTAAGCTGGGTCTGGATACATGAACCAATCTCTCACTTGTTGGATTCTTGCACATAGGTATACAGTGAAGTCTTTACAGCTCCTGACCTCAGTGAAAGTTTGCCCTTAGCTATCAGTTGAGATCAGGCATGATCACAACAGTGCACAGCCAAAGTGAATGACATCAGCGCAGAGAACTCTAATCTCCATGCAGTAATTGTATGATTTTGTTTTTCAAGGTGAAATCTCTTCCTTTATCTTTGGAGATAGAACATCTAATTAACTAATTATTTGGATTGGTGAAAATGCCAAAATAAAAATGGCCAGCTGCAGGAATGGTGAAACCTTTTGGCAACGATAAAAGCTCAGATATTCAGCTTAATTTTGGAAAGAGCATTCAGATCTCTTGCAACAGATCATAAAATCTTGGAATGGTTTAGGTTAAAATGGACCTTGAAGATCATCTAATTCCAACCCCACTGCCATGGGCAAGGACACCTTCCACTAGACCAGGTTCCTCAAAGCCCCATCCAACCTGACCTTGAACATTTCCAGGGATGGGGCATCCACATATTCTCTGAACAACCTGTTCTAGTGCCTCACCACCTTCACAGTAAAGAATTTCTTCCTAATATCTAACCTAAACTTAAAATCTTCCTGTTTAATTCCATTAGCCCTTGTCCTTA